TGTGAGCCGCGTTGTGAGAAACATCGTACGCAGCCACTTGGTTGTGTGTATCTGTCACCTATCTCTGGTGATGCCGATGCCCGAAAACAGCGCGACGCGAGAAAGGAGGCATGCCGCAAAATGTCATCCCAGGTATGGAAACTGCTCCGTTGAGCCACCTAACCAAAACTGAGGCGTCCTTCTCGGGGGAACCGCCCTTCCGATTCTTCTCGAGAAGAATCCGGAAATTGAAGAGGGTCATCAATTCATCAACTATCTGATATCCGGCTGGTTCGGGAGCGCGGTCTCGGTTTTCCGAGAAACGATTACTGTCAGCCAGTCCGGGTCATCACCGCGAGAGTTTCACTTTTGAGGACTAACTCATAATGCGACTTTTCGCGAAAAGGATCAAGGTCATGATGTCTAAATTATGCCGGCGATAGGTACATATTGGACTCCTTCCCCACGGGAATCCTTCCGTGAAGCCTGACGTTGATCCAAACGAGCAGCCGGCTCTACATACAATGGCTCCCTCAATCATTCCGAATCCAAGCTCCCTTCTCGCGAATGTCGATTCCGCGGGAGACGCCGGCGCGTTGACGAGGCGAGTTCGGCTCATCAAAAGCCGAGTGTTCCCCCCATATTCCCATCGGCGAAATTTGAGGTAGTGCTGACAGCGGAGAAACGATCTCAAGTCCTAGTACTCTCCAATGTAGGGCACTCGTCGCAAGTCGATCTCGATCATCCAGTTGAAACTTTTCCGAGGAACACCCTCGGGTGTGATGATCGTCCTGTTATCATTGGTCTCCGGTTGTGATGGGCAGTCACGGGGCTAGCGATACGGGAAGACGAATCGTAGGTAGAGCCACATCACACCTGATTAGCTTGTTTACATCCGGAACACAACATGTGTCTTCATTTGTCTCGTCATTTAGCGCTGGGGTCGTGCTAATCAATGACATGCAGATTCGAAGGCAAGCCAACTCTTGCTCGGAGCCCTTTTTTCGTGGACGAGCCTCGGAGGGAGTACGTGACTTGCGAAAACCCCCAAACCGTATCGCTCAGCCGCCGTGACAATCAGAGGTACACAATGGGGACGAACACTCCTCGGGGGACACTTAACTCCTAGCCGTTGTCAATCAGCAGCCGCTGCTGGATCCGACATCCGTGAGACGAGTCACCGATCGAATGATGAGCGGGCTGTCCGAACCGATTTCTTGCAGCGTATAATATCGTTTGGAAAAACGCTCACCTGAAATTTCTCATGAGATTCCGCTTTGATTGCCCCACTAGAGCAATCAATGCGGAAATGCAACTGGGAACTGTCTGGCGCTTCGCGTTCCCATAGTTCCGTGGAAAATCTTCATCGTCATTCGTCGCGGTATTCCTCTGAGGGGATCTCCGAGGAAATCAAGCTCGCGGTAGAGGTCGTCACCATGAGGGATCCTGTGAGGTCAGACTCCTCATTCATCAGATAAACGGAAGCCGGGATCTGAGCACAAGTCTGGGCCGTCTACGTGGCTTTGGTGAGGCGAAGATGAGTTCGCCAGCTATTTCTGTTCCAGTTACAAAGTGTATTTACACGACATTCGTCGTTGCTGCGTCGGTCGTTCGAGGCTCCGGAGGTTGTCAACAATGACAACGCTCGCTCGTCCTGAACGTTTATCTTCTGATTGGAACATCGCTTTAAGCCCCCGGAGCTCGCCCACGGATCCTTATCGCTCGAAGCTCGGGACAGAATAGTTATGAAGAGACGGAGTGTCGGCGAGCGCCCGCGGTAATTGTTCGCGAACTCGGCTGCCTGATAGCCATCCGAAGAGCGGGAGGCTTCGCTGCCCGGGACCGAATGGATTTCGAGGTTCCCGGAGCTTGCCGAGAGCTGCCCTCAATAAGTAAACGAAGAAATTCGTCCACGTTCTCCTCCATGTCGCAATCGACCGAAGAATGCTGCTACGGCACGGTGCGGCTGTCGGTGGCACTTGACTTCGGAGTTCCCTGGAAAGGAATGTCTGTGACCGCCACCGCTTGCATGACAGAGGAAGATCATGTTTTAGGATTCCTCACCGAGACCGCAGCCATCGGATATGAGTGACAACGATGACTGCGGAACGGGAAAGCTTCCCATCCCTTCGGGGCAGTGAGAGCAATCGGAGACACTTCAGTCGACGCATTTGCGAGACGTATGAACTGAAAAGATCGATTTCGAAGCGCTGGGACACTCGATTCTGATTCGTAAGGTCGGGAGTGATGAGCAGTTTCTGCAAAGACTACCGACTGGAGATTCGTTTTTCAGTGACAGGACCGAAAATTTGCGTGGGGAAATGTATCCCCTGCGACGACGATACGGCGACGAACATCACCCGACGCAAGCCCCGCAGCGGAGCCGATAAATTTCTTCCCGAGAGGTGATCGATCTCTCACATTCTGTAATCGCTCCGGACTCGCAAAGCTGACCGAACTTGTTGAATGTTGCTCCGTTCGCGGGAGCGCCGCAATGGCTTCGTTTTGTTTATACGTGTTCGCTTGATTAAATTCTTTCGGCTAGTCGAACCCTGCGGGAACTCACGTCGCCACGGTTCTGCTCGACAAATTGCTTGACTGCTCGGAGCACGGACCGTATCCTGGGAGCTCTCTCCGTGGAAACACCCTTTTTCTGCTGGAAATTCTCCCGACAAAACGTGTCGAGAGCTCCTGTGAACGACTGGTTCTGACTCATGGATGAGTATGTATTTAACTTTGGGTATCGATCGCTTCGGACCGCTGAGAGGGTCTGAGAATGACAGGCGAAGAAATCAGAATTTAAGACTGAAATACTTTATTTGAGGAGCAATTCGATTCCGACAGGCACAGGTTCTACTCGTTATCGAGAGCAACTCTCTGATCTTCTCCGACGACCCGTAGCTTCAGTTGTGAAGAGTTTCGCAACGCCGCTATTCTTTCCAGTGCGAAATCCGATCAAGCGAGAATCTGAGCGAAATTCACGAGAAGGTCTCGCGTGTTGGGGAATCGCGAGAGGGAAGCGACAGACTCCGATGCTTCACTCGAGACCTCTCGAGGATATTCGATCCGTGCGATTCTCTGGGTGACAATCCTTCTGATATTGATACCGACGCTAGAATGAACTCTGATTCCGAGGGATTTTCCGGACGGAGACAGGGCATTCCCTTCCCGAGATCGTAATCACTCGCCTGGCACCCGCAAATCGACGGAGGCAGCTTCCCAAATCAAGGTCTGTCCGACGGAGTTCGCACTCTACGTCGGCTTATCCCGATACGAGTCTTTTTCTTTCCGACTGCCTGGGAGTACATGTCGTTTTAATTCAAAGGCTAGGATATTTCCGCCCGATACGAGGAAGCGTACGACGGAGATATCGCGATATCGAGGTAGCGACTCCCGGAATTGCTTTACGCTCTTCGGAGAAGCGAGGGATTTCAAGCCTTCCCGGGAAGTGCGAAGTGGTCCGACTGCTGGATCCGCACCGACCGGCTCCCAGCCGGTTTTCGACGCTGATAACTTTTTCGGATCGAAATTCTCGAAAAGAGAGCAGCTGATTGAGGTGGGTTGAGGACCAATATCCGTTAGTTTTCCAAAATCTTTTATTTCCTTCATCAACCGGAGGCGGGGCCCCGCTAGTCGTGGCGGATTTGTAACACAAAGGTGCTCTTAGCCGTTCCATGTTGCGATTCCCGCATCCTCCTGCTCTGAGCAGATTTCCACTCCAGATTTCAATTGAAAACGAGTGTACATTAATGTTCCGAGAATTGGAGCTCTCTCGACTCAAACATCCTCCATGTATCCCTATCAAGATGTATCCCGTAGTAAGTCGAAAGTCGAAACCGAGTGAAGAACCACAGGGAGGGCTGAATAATTTTCGCAGAGAATTTCCGAAAGATTCGCGGCCCTCATTGATAAACCATGGTAGAGGGCCGCAATGCTCCGCAGGAATTAGCGGAAAAATCGCGATCCGCGAAAAATCTCCAGCTCTAGATCCTAGTCGCGACGAGCGTTTCCATAGCGATCGACCTGTACATATACATACGTATGTATTCTTATCGGGGCGCATACTTCTTCACATCGACTCTCGATTCGCAAAGTCTCAGAGATCACTTGACATTTATGTACATTTTGTATAGAAACCCTCCTCCGCAATGCTGATGCTCGACCCCTTGGACCGATCGGATTGAACCGAATGTGGAATGGATGAGCTCCATGTTTCGGAGGCCGAATATATGGCAAAGGACGTTCAGTCGAATCTGAGCCAACGTCCAGAGCTTTCAATCCTAAAAGCGAACGTCCGTGCTGTCCGCGTCCCAGGAAATGCCTCGGTCCGAGCTCAATGAATTCGCCGGAATCTCGCCGAGATTCTGTCGTAGTTTTCAGTCGAGACCGGAGAAGGGAGCCAAAGCCGAGCGAGGGTACTCCTCAGTTCGCTCGATAGCCTTGCACTCGGAGTTCGGATGGAGTCCACAGCCGAATCCTTCCTTCCCAACGGATAATTCCTCGGATATCGTTTTCCGCAGAGAAAATATCAGGATTCACGAGCTTTTCCGACAGAAAATAATCATCTATACCTAGATATGGAGTGTATACATCACGTCGGAGCCTTTCCACATCGTTGTTGAATTTCTTTTCCCTTCCTCGAAGTCCAGGTCGGTAGTTCTATGCAGCGGGGGAGGAAAATCCAAATTCACATTGGAGACTCCGAATGGCGACCCGCTCTTATACTTCAGCATCATGAAATAATGCTCCGGGGGAAAGGGGGGCTAGAGCCCCATCTTGGCTTCTCCCCTAGTTTGATGATCCAGACGAGAGACATGCATGATCAACGAGCAGGCGGAATATAGCAGACCTCCAAACACGGTGTCCCCGAACACAATTAAGAAAATTCGAGGGAGCCGAGTCTATCCAGAGCATCAGGATATGGTTATAGGAGCGCTGAATTCCCGCAGAGCATGTATCTCGCTCCGTGAGGAAGTACTCTTCGATGATCTCATCCTCTCCATTCGATCCGACCGTAGTGATCACACATTCGAGTCAGCGGTCAAGTGTACAGCTTCCGGAATCCTGTCGTGGGCCGGCGTGTTTCCGTTGCGATGGAGTGTACATTGCTCGATATCCTCATGAAGCGTTGTCGTGTGTGCCGTGGAAACCCTGCGCAGCAACCTCCGTTTTCCATGTACTGAAACCGAAGGTCTCTAGTGAGCTCGTCCCTGCCCGAGTTGAATTCTACTATTTCCCAAGTACCCGCAGACTCCGGGAATCGATTAGAGATCACAGCCACCGCACACCGCGGGAGCGACGCTCCGGTTGCTTTTCTTCCCCCATATTCCAAGATTAGGAAACAAAGAGAGCGAGTCTTAGCGAGAGCAGTTCCTCCGAACTGAGTCAACTGCACGAACCTTTGAAGGTGCAAGCATTCGGAGCTAATGAGTCCCTCTTTGAAGAATCCGGCGGCGAGTGGTTCGCGGTATCGCCCGTGGGTATCGCTCTCCGCAGTCGTTCGGGTAGAAGTCGCACGACTTCAGCTTGGACTTCGTTATTCAGAAAACAGTAGAGCAAGGCAACCACCGAGCCCTGCGAATGAAAGGCGCAGAAAGAACCATAAGTCAATTTCTTTCAGAGCGTTGTCAGAACCCCCGCGGAATAGGACAGAAGATGGACTTAATTGACCGACCCGACCGCGCGGAACACTCGACTTCATTAATGAATGTTTGTTCTGTTCCCCCTGCGTGACACACGCTCTCACTCCTTTCTATTCCCGTGGAGTTTTCGCAATTCTCAGTCGACAGGATCTCAGAGGGAATCAATTCGGGAATGGATAAGCTTCGTGCCTTCGGCATCGATTCCTTCAGGAGATATTCATGAAACTCGATCCCCGATCGTAATGTTCCGGCTGCACAGCACTGTTTCTTCTGTACGTCTCCGACGTCCTTCAGCAACAGACTGCGGACAGCAATTGATGAGGTAGGTCTAGTGCGGAATTATATGTCCACCTCGGTATCCGCCTCCACGACGGAGCACAAAACAATGTCCGAGACAAATAAATGGTCATCGTTACCCACGATCCCCTCCCGACGGAGTTGGGTACCACGACGGCGGGGCGCTTCTGAGATCGACGGTCTCACCGCTACATTGATCGGTCGCGAGACAGTTGTCTGCGACACGAGTGACTAGTGAAGCGGATCGAGCACCCTCGAAGCTAATCGACTCATACCTCGATTATACGATCGGTTGGGGAGAAGCAGACGAGCATGTCCATCGGATTGGCTTACCTGGAAAGTGTTGAAGACGACTTCGACGTAAAGCCAGATGAATTCCATTTGCCCGCCGAACTCGTCCGTCTGCAGGAGGCTGACGATCAAGGTGAGGATTTGATGCACCCCAAACAAGGGGATTAGCACGAGTGTGGACTTGAACCACTTCCTGGAAGAGCATTGAATGTGTTTGAAACTCGCGCCCCCACACCGAGGATGCTGCTTGAGAGAAACTTCCAGATCGACTTTTTCGGTGGCTAGCGCCCCTCAGCTCTGCTTCTTCTCGACATCTTCTCGGATCTCTTCTTGGCACCCTGTCATGGAACGCCGCAAGTAATAATTAGTGATTAATTATTTATTAGGGCAGTCCCCCATTATTCAAGGGCACGAGACCTGCATGCGCAGGATCGCATTGATTTGAGAAACCAGAACGATAGAACTAGCGGGGCGCTATTGAAGGCCTGCGACTCGCACCGCGTAGGTAGGGGATCGCTGGCTCTGATTAACCTTCGAACATATCGCGTTCTTCGGACTCGAATCGGACCAGCATCAAAGAATTAAGCGGGAAATCCCTACCCCTCCAATCCGCTTCCGTTCCTCCCGGATTTTCGGCAAGCTTCGGAAGGGTGGTTCACCTCGCGCCGACACCGTGAAAATCGTGCGTTTATATCTGCCTCAATGATAGTGCGCTTTGTTCTTCACAACGGAAGTGAATTCTGCCAGCGAGAGGGTTCCGAGCAGCTCTGGCTCCGAGAGCGCGCTACACCGCCTCGAAATTATTCCTTCGATCCGAGACTAAGCTCGGGGTATCGAAATTCGTGTTCCGCGAGATCATATTCCTCATAATATTCCGGAGAAAGATAGGCTTCTTATCGAATTCTCAAGATCGAACTGAGCACGGATCCTCGATGTGATCGTCCCATCATCATTTCGATATCGAAAGTTTTTCCTCTTCCAGGAAAGGTCAGGAAAACGTAACTCCGCCGTCGATTCGAACTGAATGGAACCATTCTCGCTCGACGGAGAATACTTCGAGCTGGACCGTCGCGTCGTCAGAAGTCACCTACCTGTATCGCACTTTCCGAGCGTCCGGAATGTGTGTTGCAGACATCTTGACGAATAACACCCGAGTGATGTTCAGGAAAAAGAAGAAATTCAACTGTGGAGCGAGCAAGAGTCTCTTTCAGAGGACGTGTTCTCGAGTGTTGATAGCACGGAAGTTCTAATCGAAGCTCTTAGTTGATCGAGGGGAAAGATGTCGGTCAGACTCGTGCCCAGCGCTGAGATGTGATTTCTCCCCCCATTATGCGTAAAGAAACGTCATCCACAATTAAGGCGAGATGCCTGTATTCCGTCAGCCATCGAAGCGGAAATCCCGGCCCTGCGAAGCGTGTTTACCGTGGCACAGAAAGGTTTTCCCTGTCTGATTTAAGTGCACGAGGAGTGGAGCGTTTGGAGCGTTAGCCGAACTGTTAGTTCTCAACGCGTGAAGCGTGAATGTGTTCAGGTGTAACGTGAGCGAACGCAATCCGGCACCAATTAAGTTTCGGAACCCCCAGGCTCTGGTTAGTCGACTGCTCGATAAGAATCGGAGAGAGTTCCGAAGGCAGTGAGCAAGACATACCCGGACTTAGTTAGACAGAGTCAGACCGGAATTGGTCGCAGGAGCTACTTATCTCTACACGTACCACTATAGAGAGCGATATTGGACCCCTGAGGATCCATGTGATCACCCGATGTTTCACTTCCATCCAACACCTGCAAGAGAAAAATAACGCATCCCTTAATGCAAGATACAATAGAAGACGGATGTCTGGATTCCCTCGGGTGATGTGAAGCCTCCGCTTAGAGCACTCGATATCGGGAAAAAGCCTATCGGCCGAAAGTTCATTCTGCACAAACGGATACATAGTCATTATGGAAGGATGCGAATGGCGACACACGGCAATGGCAAGAGGACGCAATAGGTCTTCTTCGACCCGGCAAGTTTCCGGCCTTCATCGACACGACACATGTCGGTTCCCCAGGAGGAGACAACGTGAAAAAGAAGTCGCATCCCCCGTGATTGTATCTCCTCGAAGAATGACGACTCAGAAAACGAGTAGGTACCTCTCTCGCAAGAGTACAGACTGGAGAGAAGAACTGAGCGACTAAACGGATACTTTCGGATGAATCGGAATACGTGAAGCCGTACATGACGATATTCACGGAGCTCTCCGCGTCCACCAAGAAAAAAAATAATTATAGAAATAACTTATTTCGATGCGCTCAGAGTCCGTCGTTCGCTCAATACCCTCAAAATGATCGAAGACCCGTGATATTTCCTCAGTACTGCTACGCAAGGATTGGTCAGAGTCGAAGATGCCGTTTGCCGGCAGGGCTCGGTCGAATAGGATGTCTCGACATCGCCTCGTGGGGAGGAGCCAGCGAGCGAAAGCTCGAGGATGAAAATCTACAAAAGAACATCATCGCGTATCCGTGTATACAGGAAATCGGGACTTCCGCCGAGTGCGTTCGACACTCTGAAATGTTGCGAACCCCGCAGCGCTCTGCCGTAAAAATTGAGATTGAAGCCTCCCGGTAAATGACAACGGGAGCTTATGTCTGGGAAACAGATGGCACCATGGCGGCAGTAATTGTTCGGACAATCGGATCCCCGAGCTCCTACCTCAACGTAAGAACCTGCCAAGCCCAGGAATCGTACTCGTCTGAGATTTTGGCTCAGGAAGTCATTGATTGGAAATCAATTGTTGCGGATGTCGTCCTTCCGCTTATCGTCGACGAAGAAATCTCCACCGTCGCGAGCCATCCCTGTCAATCTCACACAAGGTCATCAAAATCCCTCGAGTCGCTGCGGATCCTCGCCAAATTTATCCAAGCGCATTCGATCGCGGGAAGAACTCGAGTGATCGGAGCTCATTTTCAACCTTCATTTGACGTTTATCATTATCGGCGTTCGGAATGCAGAGGCGCATTCCGTCCGTGGCGCTGAACTGCATAATGCCGAGAGATCTTATTGTCGAAGAAATGAAGTTTTCATCGAGATAACCTCAGCTTCGAGTATTCTCCTTTTCCGCAGTCTTGGTCGATACTCGAATAACGTCGCGGGGAAGGATGATTAGATGTACGCCGTGCGCGACAAGGAAGCCGACCGAGACCTGATCGATTAGACTTCAACTCATCCCCTGGCAAACTCCGCCGAGTTCTTCCGATTGTCGGGCTAGGGGCTAGACTCAGACAAGCCCCACGAAAATGAGTTTCCGACCGTCTCTCTCGAGTATTGTAACGTGTAATATTATCAGTCCGCTTACACGGAGGAGCGGATGTCTCGAGGGAAACTCACTTGTAATTATCGAAGAAAAAGCGGACCAGAGCCCAAATGGCAACCCATGGCAGGGGCAGACCTGGGGAGAATTTTTCGATTAACATTCAGTTTACCTCCCTCTCAACGTCTCATGGATCCCGTTGACGCGCTAGATTGAAGAGATGATCAAACTGTCTCGCTCTCAAAGAACAAGTTCACAACTCATGACACCCGATGTCTATCAAGTCAGCCCCATATGATCTAATATAAGGTACGAGAAGAAGCGTCGAGAACTCACCCCAGCCCATGATGACATACTTCGCAATCTTGGAATTATCTGCATAGACGGCCATAAAGATTATGTTGTACAAATAGAGTCCCTCCATCAGAATCCAACAATAGTTCGCCATCAACGAATAGTGGAAGAGCAGGGTGAATAGACGGCACGTGACGTACTCCTGTAAGTTCAAGACTTGAGACAAGATCGCATGATTTTACCCTGGCTCGGTTTCATTCAGGGTGAGCGTGTCGATCGAGACCCCGGGGCATCCCTATCTCCTTTCAGAACTTCTCCAAGGGCCTGCTCGTCTTTGTCAGCGAATCGGGTCCTCGTTCGCAATCAAGCGAGTAGCTTATCCATTGTGTCGACCGAAGCTCTGAATGTAGGTAACCCTAACATCCACTGCCTTATCGTGGATGTCTTCGTGAACATATAAATACATGAGTCCGAGGAACACCAGCCTTCAAAATACCGAGCCTGGATTGGATCTAGTTGATCCCCAGTTGAGATGAGCACACAGCCTAGAAATCTAGGCAGGCTTTGGAAATATGGGATGACTTTCCGGAGGGAACTTCTCATAGGGATTAAGCAAGGAGCAACCTGCAACCAGCAACGACGTGACCGGCCTCGGGGAGACGTGGCAACGATGCGTGACTTACCATGAGGAAAGAGTTAAGCAAATAGAGCTTCCGGTCGAAGGGGGAAAAATTGCGTAAGTATGTAGTAGGGTGAGCGTACTATGCCAAGCCATTAGGCGGCGCGCTTTATGTCGACCTACAAATCGGCGTTCTCCCGCTCCTGCCCAGAAATGGCGTACAGAGGGATTCGATTCCAATCCTCCAGAAATTCCAGTACTGGCGGTTCACTCACATAAGTGTTGAATGAGGTGACTCCACTTTTAAAATACAGATGTTTGAATACCAGTACGGTACACCGAACGATGAATGATGCAAACAGATGAAGATGAAGTCTATTCCTGGCGCAGCGCAATCTCCTGAGGAAGGTAAAATCGAATGTAATGTGATCCCGGATAAATCCTCAGGGGAAGCCGTTCAGGACGCCTTCTGCAGCGACTTCGGCATCGAGCCGAATTGTCTATCGCTCTGAGCGAGCCTCCTCTGTTGACATCCTCACAGAAGCTGGTGGCTTCATAGCACACAAGACAAATCATGGATCTTGGACGCGAGGCGGACTTCTTAATACAAGCGCAAGCATGCGAACGCGTCCAGGCAGGCATATCTGCACATCATACATATGAATGCGAGCCGGCAGACCGGGGAAGAAATGTGGCCTGATCGCCAGCTCGGGCGCTGCTTCGGTCAACTAGCCATACGCTTTGCATCTGTATAGCTCACTTGAGGGAGGCCAGAAGAAAGAACGCCATGATGAGCAGGAGAAGAGACGTGGAGTAGCCCAAGAGTGATATCCGATTGAGGGCCGAAAGATGGTACTGGAGAGTCTTGCGGTATTCTCGGTACGCGTAGCTGAGGCATTCGAGGTAGTTCGCCGGACCCCATTTTCCGGATTGGCATGTCCGCTGTACGGTGACTGGAAATTCAGTTGTCTGACTTGAGGATCGCACGTGAAGGGAAAAGAGACATGCCCTAGGTTTTTGAACGATAATGTTAGGCACTCAAACTTCCGAGTTCGTCGCTGGGCCTGGGCTCAGGAGGAGAGTAGGTAAGTACAGAAGTGGGCTCAGGAGGAGAGTGACGAATTCGAAAGAATCGGGACTGATCCTGGAAATACTCACACGAGGCGTTGAACGACCGCTCTCTCGGACAGTGAAGTATCACCGCCTTGCCGGCTGGGGTTGGCGGCCAACACAGCAGATCGTCCCACAGGGATTTGCATCCGCCTTCCAGCGACTCCGTTTCGTTGCATGATGTGTCGATCTGAATTCGGGCCGCGGCATGGCTCGATAGAAGATCTGTATCCTGAAACAATTACTCGCTTGGAGACGACCGCAAACGCCGGAACGACACGAATGCATGCTGATGCACATGATCATATAATCTAGTGCTTTGAATATTCGCTCGATCCGTGTCTGGAGCACCCATTCCTCATTTCCTCTGGTGTAGGTCTCAGACTTTCAT